GGATTAGAGCACCACTCTTTCCTTCCCTAAACCCATGCATACTTGTTAAAGGAAAATCTAAAATCTCTGCCTCACATCAGAAGATCTACCAGGTATGGGACAGAGGAAAACAAAGAATAAAGGACTATTCTGTTGTCACTAATCTCATAGTGGATGGTTTTCATTTGACTCATGAAAATTTTTCATAAGATATAAATATTATCTCAAAATCTATAAGATTATTATGTATGTATAAACTTTTTGTCCTGATACCAGTGATCATACAGAATATTAACTAGTTCTAGAAATGTTTCATCTAGCTTTCTGTAAGTGTTTCTATGTTTGAGTCTAAAGCAGGTAACTAGGAACTAAGTTTGTGTACCTTGGATGTATTTAATAGATTGTGGTCTTCAAACCTTTTAGAGATCTGCTGAATTGGCAAACAATGGTATTAATGGTACAATTGAATGATGTTGAAATGCAAAGTTTGGTAGATACAGAGGCTGATATCAGCATCCTTTCCCAAAACTCTTGAACTCCAGATTGGCCACTTTACAACATTTATACACTGTCTACAGGAATTGGTAAATTATCTCAGATAAGACAAAATGTACAATGGATTAAATATATGGGACCAGAAGGGTAAATAAGAAAATTGAGACCTTATGTGGCCGACATACCCACAAATTTATGGGGAAGGGATATTTTACAACTCAAATTAATATTCCTGCAATCCCAGAGACAGCCAATGACAATATTAAGAATGAAATGGTAGGTGCTCCTGGGGAAGGTACTGATACATGTAATCAAGAGCAATCACAAGCACAGGACACAAGGGCCTGAGTTTCCAAATTTATAAGAGGGGCCACTGCTGAAATATCAACAGCCCTACCCCTAAAATGGACGTCAAACAGACCTATTTGGCAACAGCAGTGGCCCATGACAAAAGAAAAAGTTGCAGGCACTTGAACAACTGGTGCAAGAGCAGCTGGAGGTTCAACACAGAGAAGTGTCTACCAGGCCACGGAATCCCCCCGTGTTTGTTGTAAAAAAGAGATCAGGAAAATGGCGGGTGATAACGGATTTAAGAGCAGAGAATGGAGTCATTCAACCAGTTTGTCCTTACAGCCTGGAATTCCTTTCCCTTCTTTATTACCTAGGCCATGGCCTATAATAGTAATTGATTTAAAGGATTGCCTTTTCACAATACCATTGCATGAACAGGATAGGGAAAAGTTTGCTTTCTCAGTACTTTTTTTTTTTTTTTTTTTTAAATAAATGTTGTGCCCAGGGGCATGTGTCTATTTACTTATTTATTTTATATGAGAGCTCTGGCTGCATGTACACCTGCATGCCAGAAGAGGGCATCAGATCACATTATAGATGGTTGTGAACGAGAACCGATTTAAGAACAATGAATAGAATAATTCAACCTATTATGAAACGAATTTTTCTTAGCACATAAACAAAATAAAAAGTAAAGACATATATTAAAAAGATTTCTGAATTAATTATAAAAGGTAAAATAAGACTATGTCAATTGTCAGGAACAGACCTGGCCGAAATTGTAATCACTCTTTCTAATGCTGAAATTATGGCATTGTGAATAATCAATTAAAACTGACAAAGAGCTTTAATAACTATTTGGGAGAAATTAATGACAAATATCCAAAAATCAAACATACACAGTTTATAAAAAGAAATAATTGGATTTTTCCACATATTATAAAGAGAACACCAATTCCAGAGGCATTAACTGTCTATACTGATGCAAACAAGATGGGAATGGCATGTTATGTATTTACCTGAAATGAAAAATATGGTTACCAAGAAAATTTACAAAGATTAGATCTGATCAGGGAAGACCTCCTATCAGCAGAGACACGAATGTCTTCATAAAACAAATAAGCCCAAGTGATTCAGTCGCACCGGCTGCCTCGATTATTTATTTCTCAAAAATTTGCATACAAATCAACTTCAAAAGGGCTAGCCCAAATTATAGATCCCAGAGAAACTGGACAAAAAACACACAAACTGAACAGAAAAGCACAGAAACTAGACCAAAACCACAGAGATTAGACAGAAAACTAAAAGACTGGGCAAAAAAACCCACAGAGACTAAACAACAACAACAACCAAAATACAGCTAGCTTTTCCAGGACTGGGCCAATATCCCAATTTTCATAGGGTGTCCTAAAGATGCCTCTGCCCCCAGAAAAATAATTTTAAAAACAGAACACCTCCATTCCCAAAAGATGGGATGGATGTTTTGGGTCGTTTGATGTATTATGGTTGTTTGTTGTTGTCTAGGATGGTTGGTTATAAGTTGTTATTGGTTATGGTCAGGAAGAAAACAAAATAAAATTTAGATCAAGGATCTCTTTCTTTCCTCTATTTTTCTTTTTCTCTTTTCTTTCTCTCTTATCTACTGATGGGGAAAAGGAGGAAAAAAGGAATGATAAGGGAGGGGATATAAGGAGATGGATTATTGTATCTTGATAGAAATTTAAGGTTATTTTAACTATTGTTTATTTATTGTATGTTGATACAAAATTTGTATTATACATAAGGAGAATTGTGATATAAAGTTTTAGTTTTATAATTCTAATAATTATTTTAATTGTATAAAGTTTTTTAATGTTAGAGAAAAAGCCATTTTTTTTTAACAAAAAGAGGGACATTTCATGGAAGTTTTGGTTGTGTTGTGTGGGTATGTTTTTGCTATAGACTCAAGTGTGGGATGCAGGAGGGCTTTGTCCATAGCTGACAGCAGCCTTCTGTGTGATTCTTGCCAACAGGAAACTGCCTTGTGCAAGGGGCATGGTTGTTGTCAGCCGAAAACATCCTGATGTGGACTCTGAGAAGGTATAAATAAAAGCCCACAGTCACAGACAGAATGCTACACTTCGCTTCACTTTGAGACGTTATTAGAGAGAAACGATTTCAAGGTTGCTGTGGCTGTTTCTGCTGTTTGACTGGACTGCTGGTACCCTGACATCGAAGAGTGGAATCACCCCAAGGAACTACATCTAAAGGTCCACATCCAGTCCCTATGAACACTTCTTCTCTCCGGTGTCTAGGAACCCAATGACCCTAACCAGTAGGAAGTAGCTAAAGAGAACTATACCCCTTCTCCTGACTAACCTTCTTTATCTACTACCTGGTGTTGGGGTGATGGAAGAGATTGGGGTGAAGAAGGAAAAAAGAGACATAAGAAAGCCAAATAAAACAGGTTGAAAAAAGTCAAAGCCTACAATAGCTAATCAATAATAATTACAAGCCTGGCACCTTCTTTAAAAAAAGAGGCACAAAGAGAAAAGGGAAGCAGGGAGGAGACAGGGGGAACAGGAGAGCATGACCTGTGGAAAAGGCTGGTGGAGGAGTGAGGCTTTCTGTGATGGAGGCCACACTGGATATGCAAAATCTGGGCTAGGCCACAAACCCTACTGTCTTTCATTTCATGTCTCAGCACTGCTACAGCCTGTTTCCTGGATGATCCCCTGCTCTACAGAAACACACAGTTGCTTCATTTAGAGGAGTTCTCTGCCTGTGGGTCTTAACTCCTTTAGGGGTGGAACAATGCTTTCAGAGGGGTCACCTAACACCATCAGGAAATGAAGATATTTACATTATGATTTACAAGATTACAGTTAGGATGTAGAAAGGAAAATGATTTTATGGTTGGGGGGGCCCACAGCATAAGAAATTGTTTTGGTCTTTGTTTGTTGGTTTTTTGAGAGAGGGGTTCTCTGTGTAGCTCTGGCTACTGTGAAACTCACTCAGGCTGGCCTTGACCACACAGAGATCCACCTGTCTCTGCCTCTGGAGTGCTGGACTTAAAGGCTTGCCTCAAGGAAGTGCCATCAAGGAATTGTATTAAAGGGACACATCATTAGGAAGGTTAAGAACCACTGTACCAGCAGGCGTGGTGGAAGGTGTTGCTACAGTGTTCACTTTATTGCAAAAGAAACTGAGGGACAATGTAGATGACTCCCTAGGACAGGGACCCATGCTGTTAGCTTTCAAGGATAGGGAAAATCTCATTGTTGGTTGCTGGGTTTTCTTGTTTTAAATCTGTAGAAACAGTATCTCACGTATCCCAGGCTCTCCCACAACCCACTTTGGAGCCAAGGATGAGCATGAACTTCTGTCCCTCCTCCGTAGATCTCCTAACTGCTTGGTTTATCCACACACTCATGCTTTGTCATAGTGGAGAAAAAGTCACTGGCTCATAGAAAGCAGAGAGATAAAGTTTAGTGAGCAAAAACCTCCCAGTTGTACCCTACCACATTAGGGTTTTAGTTAATTGTACAGGTAGTTAAGCAAAGAAGAGCCACCACAAGCCCATCACTTGTCAGCGTGACGCACAATCATATCACCTTCTGTCATGCCTAATTTCCAAAAGAAACAGTAACCACGTCAGACACCTAAAGTGATGTAATGATGCAAGACAAAAGGGCAAACGCATTATATATTTCACCAGGACATAATTATGCCTAACATGCTATAACTATCACTCACAGAACTGCAAATGTATTACAAGGTTAAAATAGGCTGCACTGTCCCTTGACAGACCTTCATGTAGTATCTGAAACATAAATATGTAGATAAGCTTTGATAGTCCCTTAATTGACCTTATATCACTCCAACACCAAGCTCCAGCTAGTTTCCACTGCACTCGGGAGAATCCGAGGCTGTGAGAACGGATCATGGGTTCTCTGACAAGAGAATGAGGCGGTGTTGAGCTGCTGTGTGGAAGTCCAGGTCGCCCTGGTAGTGTCTGATGGACACGGAGGGTAGAGGGCAGGTGCCAGGACACCTGGGAATGAACCTTCACCAGTAAGCACCACATCCCCTGTCCCTCTGTACTCATGGCCCCCACAGAAGCGACAGGAGGAGGAGAGAGTTACCTCACAAACCTTTATTTAGTTTCACTTTCTTCCTGATGAGGTAGAGAGAGGAGCACACCTACAGGGCTGTACGAGGCTCTTAGAGGAAGAGCAGGGACTCTCCACTTGTCTTCACGGAAGACTTGGGTTATTGTCACACACTGACCCCGGCTGCTGCAAGCTGGTGTCTCCAGGGGCCGGAAGTAGGGGTGGGACGGCCGGATAGCCAGGGTTCCAGGGCTCATATCCGGGAACCTGTGAATGCTCCACGAACACCATCGGTGACGGGTTCCCCTGAAGCTCTCCAGAAGGTGCAGGGAAGCCATAATCCCAAGGCTGGCACACGGGAGATGGCAGCACCATTGGAGGCTGAGGGTACGTGGGAAACAGGGGGTTACCAGCCCCATCAGAGAGAGGACCTGAGAGGAGAAGGAACAGAGAGAGAACGTAAGCATGGCACCCTCGCTCTCCCTGAATCAGGCGAAGTCATGTGCTGGCCCGTTTGTCACAGTCAACTGTGAACAAGCCCAGCTTCCATCCCCTTGTGGTGACAGAAAAAGGTTAGCCACACAGAGGCCACTCTTTCCTGGTGTATGCAGGAGAGGCCTGTGGGAAAGGGGCTTCCCTACATTGTGTGCTCTGCTCGATGCTCATGAAGAACAGGCCAGCTGATGCCGCTTTCGGGAGGACCCGACCAGTCTACACAGAGAGACTAACCTGGGAAGGGGCTTCTCTGGCACGGATAGTCCAGGATCCTGTACAGGGCCTCCGCATATGGAGAAAACAAGGATCCCATCCTCGGTTTCTCATTGCAGAGAGTCCAGTGCAGACCCTGCATGGTCAGCAGCAGGTCAAAGCAGCTTTTCCAGGTCTTCTTCAGGCCCCGCTGATAGAGGCGCTGGCAGAGAGCCTTGGTCTTCTTATGTATCTTCCTGCCGGGGTAGCTGACTTCCTGTTCAACGACTTCCCATTCCTGCAGGAAGACCCTGATTTCAGAGTCACTCCACCGGCTATGGGAAGGACCTGGAAGGGACAGAGGGATGTGATGAATGCACTTGACATCACGTACAAGGACATCTGAACTTTCTGGGACTCTCCTGTACACTCAGCAGCCAGAAGTGGCCTCATTCAGTCATGGAGAGATTATACCCACCAGCCCAGAAGTCCGCAACTACCCTGCCTGTAATATTCAGGCGTAGACTCACCGGGACAGTGCAGGTATCTTCAGTTTAAGAAACTATCTCTCAGGATGCTATGGGATCTCACAGGACAGGTGCTATTGGCCACGCTGTCCCTACATAGACTCACAAACCACTTCTGCCCCAGGGAGCCTCTCACAGTCTCTGAGCCTTTGGGTCTTCTGTAAGAAGGACAGAGACCTGGCACCACAGAATACCAGTCTATGCTCGTCACAGCTGCTAACATCTGGGGTCTCTCATATACCCACAAGCCACAGCACAAAGAAATACAGAAGATTTGGCTTTAGCACAGATCTGACTTTGAATACCTGAGGGCCTTTGGCCTTCCTGCGTTGGACTCCATCCCACATTGGCTTCTGGGGTGTTTCTCAGACTTGGGATTTGGTTTACTGCACTCTGTGCAGAAATATTAAATATTAAAACAGAAAAATATTAAAACAGTTTTTATGCAACAGGAATCTCTCTTAGCTGTGCATGGACTCAGGGACCAGCCTCTTGCAGCGTTAGCAAAACAATGGACTCATGATCTACAAGTGCTGGCTCATTCTCACCTAATGGGAAAGCTTGGTCCTGAAGTTAACCAGGGAAAGGCTCCCGTGAATCGTGTAGGCGCCCTTGGTGAAGTGAAAGGTAAGAACAGAAGCACCTCTTCTCTTTGAGAAGACCTCAGCCACTCTCACCAGCTCACTTTCTCCCCAGTCTCCTTTCTGTTCTCCTCGGGCTAAAAAGCTAATTTCAAATCTCCTAATAAACTCCAGGTCTGCCTCAAACATACCACAGTATCAGACAGACTATGAACCGGTACTTTTCCATCCCACACACACAACACGGGTGTGTAGGAGGCGGCTCTTTCCTAGGAGGTGTAGGGTGGTGGCGGCACGCACCTTTGATCCCAAGCACTCAGGAGCAGAGGCAGAGTTCGAGGCCAGCCTGGTCTACAGAGGGAGGTCTAGGGCAGCCGGATCTACACACAGAGAAACCATCTCGAAAAACAAAAACACAAAAAAGAGGTGTAAGGGGGCTCAGAAGTTCAGGGTCATTCTTGGCTACCTAGTGAGTGATGGGCTAGCCATGGGTCAGCAAATTGCTGCCTCAAGCAACAAAGACAAGAAAACCCAAGAACAGGAGGAGTGCTGCGTCTTGTAAATTGCAGGTATGTGTTCATGTTCAGGATGTTTAACCACGTTTTGCCACGCTGCCGTGGTTGTACAGGGAACACAGTACCAGCACCTTCCAGGAGGCTTGCTATGGGTACCCAGTGAGTTCACATCCATGTGGAGTGCAGAAGCACGCCAGAGACACACTTAGAGGCTCTAAGCCTTCTGAGAGGAACTGATAGACATACATCCCAGCCACCCTCCAGAAAACAGTGGATTCTCCCAACTCACCTCCATTCCTCTCCTGAGCTTCCTTTGCTCAGCAGAGTTGGGCACTAGGGTCCTCTGTGTCCTGATGGGCGCACAAGAGTCTGCAGTGTGGAGAGAAACCTGTGCTCACTTCCTGGCCTTCTGTAAGTCTGAGAACCTGTGGAGATGTAGCCCCTTTTAAAGCTGTGGGGTATCATTGAAGCAGGCCCAGCCCACCTGGATGTTTAGGGTGGGTCAGCAAAAGATAGCCAAGAGCCTTTAATCTGATCTCAGGAGGCTGAGGCAGGGGAGGCTGAGGTAGGAGCAAAGCTCAGATTTCTAGAACTCCTGGGCTACATAGCACAAGAGTCTCAATTTGAAATTTTTAAAGAATCTAAGAAAAACCAAGTCAACTAAGTTAGGTTTGTGTTTGAGAGACAGGATTTCCTTACCTAGTCCTGGCCATCCTAGAAGTCACTAAAATTTAGACCCAACTGTCCAGGACATCACACCGATCTGCCTGCCTCTGGCTCCCCCTCCCAAGTGTTGGGATTAAAGGCATGGTGCTCTATGGCTGGTCAACTTAATAGTTTAAAATGTTTGCTAAATATCTTCAGTTCATGTAAAATTTGATTGAAAACTTGAGACAGTTTTTTTTTTTTTAATTTGTTACTTTACAGCTAAGAAACATTTCTAAAATTGTAGTTAGTCCATATTACATGAGAAAGTGGAGTCTGGGGATTTCTTCACCAAGAGGCACAAAGAGAAAAAGGAAGCAGGGGAGGGATGGGGGAAAACCGGAAATCATGGCCTCTGGGAAAAGCAGGAGTGAAGTCTGTCAGTCGTGGTGGTACATGCCTTTAATCCCAGCACTTGAGAGGCAGGGACAAGCAGATCTCTGTGAGTTCTAGGCCAGCCTGGTCTACAAAGTGAGTGCAGGACACCCAAGGCTACACAGAGAAACCCTGTCTAAAAAAAAAACAACAAAAAAAGAAAGAAAGAAAAAAAAAGGGCAGTGGGGTCATCTATGGCGGAGGGCACACTGACTTTACAACCTCTGGCCAGGCCTCAAACACTATTGACTTTCATTTTGTCTCAGCACTGCCACAGCCTGAACACCTGTGCCCTCATGCTTCTCTGCTCTCCAGAAGCTCACAGCTGCTTGCTTTAAGACAATGTTTCTCAACCTGTGGTCAAGACTCCTTTAGAGATTGAATGACCCTTTCACAGGGGTCACTGACATTGGAACTATCAGACACTTACATTACCATTCAAAACAGTAGCAAAACTACAGCTGCCAATGTGGAACGGGCACAATCTCACGGGTGGGGTGACCACAATGTGAAGAACGGTGTTAAAGGGTTGCATCATCAGGAAGGTTGAGAACCACTGGCCTATCAGATGTGCTGGAAGGTGTTGCTACCCTGTTCACTTCATTGCAGAGGAAACTGAGGGACAGCGTCGATGACAACTGGGAATAGAAAACCATGTCACTCATTTCAAGGGTCTGGAAACCCCTCCTGTTGGTGTTGGGCTTTCTTGGTTTGAGTTTGCTGGGGCAGCATCTCATGTACCCCAGGCCCACTTCGAATGCAAGGATGAGCAGGAACTTCTGCCCCTCCTCCCTAGGTCTCCCAGCTGCTGGATTATAACAGGAGCGCACACACCCAGGTCAGGGCATAGTGGAGGGAAAGCCATTGGCTCATGGAAAGCAGCAGAGATGGAGGTCAGTAAGAGATTTTAAACTTCAGGACAAGAGAAAGCCAACTGGGAGGCATGGGTGTGAAGGATGGGTGTATTTGTTTCTTTCCTTCTTCTTTAGGAGACAGGAATGAGGTAATCCCAGGCTGGCCTGTAACTCCCTCAGTAGCATAGGATGACCTTGAACCCCTGATGTGTCCTCAGGGGTCTGGGATCTCTGCCCATTCACAGGCCCAGCAGCTGTGCAAAGCCCCAAGTGAAGGAGTTAGGAGGTGAGCCTCATATCAGCCCAGCCTCCTAGGTAGCCAGTGTCCCATGAGAGCCCTCTCTTTTCTGGTGCAGAATTCCGGGGCTTCATAGCAAGCCTTAATTACTCTTCTGATAACTCAATGAAGCTGTACCTGGTGTATTAATCCTCTAGAGTAACAGAGCTTTTAGGATGAATGAAAATATGTGCATGTGTATGACTTACAGGCTGTGATCCATCTAATCTAAAAATGGCTGCCCAGAAATGGAAAGTTCAAGAATCCTTTAGTTCTTTACTGCTGAAGGCTGGATGTTTTAGCAATTCTCAGTAGACTCTAGACTCCCAAAAAAGTAGTCTCCAATTCCAGTGAGGGAATGGACTTGGTATCAAGGTGATAGTAAGCAAGCCATGATGAAAAGCTTCCTTCTTTCCTTTCCTTATTTAGGCATCCAGCAAAAGGCATAACCCACATTAGATCGGGATTAAAAGTGTGTCTTCCTACCTCAAAGATATGGATTATAAATAGATTTTCCCACTTCAAATGAAGCAGAAATCTCTCACAGGTGTGCCCTTCAATTTTGGGGTTTTGTTCATCTTAAATATAATCAAGTGAATAAGTCGAAGAAATTATCCAAAACTAGAAAGAAACAGAATGAATGCCAAAGTACTTGAGGTCTCCTTTGGGTGTTCTGAATGTCACTGATAAAGAAATCTAAGAAGCTGGGCATGATGGGGCATGCCTGTAATCCCAGCGCTCAGGGAGGCAGAGGCTGGCAGGTCACTCTGAGTTCAAGACTAGCCTGCTCTACAAAGTGAGTAGAGGACAGCCAAGGCTACATAGAGATACTCTGTCTTGAAACAAAACAAAATAAAACAAAACAAAAAAACCTAAGTGTTGGGATTTGTAAGTAGGTATCATGGTCTCATTAAAGGGTTCCTGGCATGACCAGACCAGGTGCTACCAGGAGAGCCCTTCCCGGCCAATGCACCAATGTTAGGACCAATGAAGATGATGCGCATAGCAGATCTTATATGAAAGAGGTTTATTAGATGGATATGAAGAGAGAGAAAGGAGAGTGTGAGACATGATGGGGGAAGAGAGAGGGCCGCCCCAACAGAGAAAGGGAAAAGGGCAAGAGAAGAGAGGACAAGAGGAGAGAGAGAGAGAGAGAAAGAGAAAGAGAGAGAGAGAGACTAAGTGGCCTGTTGGTCCTTTTAAGGAGCAACATAACCAAGCCTGGCAGGTGTGGCTATCTGGCTGGTGACACATGATGGCATCATAGGTTGATAGGCAACCCAGAAGCAGGCTGCCTAAATACTAACATTCCAGGCATCATGAAGCCACTTACAGACCACCTGAAATCACCTGAGCATGCTCTGGGTCACCTTATAAGAGAACTCGCACCGCCCCATTCTGCTGCCCTGCCCAGAGACGGTCTCTGTGACCCCTTCCCCCTTCTCTTAATAAACCTCCTATGTGGAACCAGTCAAGCGGCATGATCTGTGAACTTTGTAACTTTGTGAACCATG